GGCCCCGCCGGCTGCGCTTACAAACAAGGACAGGACGGGATGCTACCCAGAAGGGAGGCAGGACAGAGGAGGAAGAGGATGGATGCTACAGCTGCACTGGGAGAAGGGATGAAGGAACCAGCAATGCAGGCAGCAGCGGGATGGCAGATGGCAGGCAGCGGTTGCGCAGGGGGCAGGGGAGGGCTGGCAGGCAGGGCTGGCACCTCTACCTTGTTTGGGGTGAAGACGGAGTGGACGCAGCGCAGCATCTCCTTCGTGTCTTCTCCCTGGGGGTCCCCGCAGATAACGACCTGTCCGGGCAGAGTGTGGGTGGTGGGAGGGAGAAAGCAGAGAGCTGTGACTGCACCCACACCACCGCCAGGCCCCCTCCCTGCGGCAGGTCCCGTAGGGGACACGTGAGCCCCAGCCCGTACCTGTTTGAGGGTGTGATGGAAGACAGCGGTGGCCCGGGCCATCTCTGGCAGGGTTATGGGGATCTTCTGCAGCCTCTCTGAGAAGGCGGCCAAGATCTGCCCAGCTTTTTCCACCCATTCCATGTGGCCGGAGTAAGAAGCCGCTCGGAGCAGGTTTGTGACAGTGACGGAGTTGGCGGTGGGCTCTGCTCCATCTTGGTCTGTGGGTGACAACAGCTCTTCCATCAGCTCCATGCCTTGCCACCCCATGGCTTGATCCTCCAGCTGCCCCACACCATGACCCGTGCAGACCACGGCCAGGTCCCCAAACTCACCAGCCTTCAGGCGCAGGAGCAGAGAGGGATCGCCAGCCTCGCTGGAGAAATACGCAAAGCCTTTGGGGTCCCAGAAGAGCTTGTCTTGCATGTGCTGGAGCTGCAGGGCCCACTCCAGCCAGCCCTGCTCCAGTGAGGCTTCGTACAGGTCAAAGAGAGCCTGGATGACAAAGACGTAATCCTCCAGGAAGCCCTGGATGGGCACGGCGCTGCGGTGGCAGACAGGGAAACAGCATGAGGGTCAGGTGGGAAATGTTCTCCAACCCAGCAAAGCCCTACCTACTGGTCTCTGCTACTCTGAGGAGATGCCACCTCAGAGCTCAATCCAAGATAAGCAGCGGCTGTGCCAAGTCACCAGGGTCAGCCCTGGGTTTCTGTGCAGCAGGGGAGGGCAGGGGAAGGCTCCTGCCAGCTTGGGAGATGAGGAACAGGAAAGGATTTGACCTTAATTCCTCCTCACTGGGTGGGGGGCACTAATCCATCCCAAACTGCACCGGAGGCAGTTCTGCGCAAGGCAAACAGCCTCCCTCCAAGTTCAGTCCCAGCTGGAGGGGAGATGGACGTGGACCACGAGCGCCTGGGCAGCTCCCGCTGGGTGGCCAGTAGGTCTGGAGACCCTCTCCGTACCACTGCTCACCTCTGCTCCACCGTGCTGTCTTTGCCCCGGTAGCAGCTCCGCAGCAACCTCCCACTGGCAGGGTCGAAAAGGTGCCTCCGTAGGAAGGCAGCTGCCTGCGCAGCCCGGCTCACGTACTCGTGCTGGGCCAGGGCCGCCCCAGCCTGGGCAAAGCCCGAGATCATCAGCCCTGCGTAGGCACAGACATGGGGACAGGCTCGGGGGGGCACAAGAAACTGGCGGGGGTGTCACTGTCTTTCCTTTAAAGGATGCTCAGCGTGAAGCTCATCCTCCCTGATGCTCAAGGCAGGTCAGGGCTCAGTCATCAGCTCTTCTGCTCAATTCAAACCACTAAGGAAGTCACTTACTGTCACCAAAGAGAAGGGCACAGCTCTGCAAGGCCAGCAGGAGCTAAGCCTTCGCTTGCGGGCAGAAACAGGGCTTAAGAGACTCTTCCTGTTTGCAGGACACGGTGTAACTCCAGCCCACACCAGCTCCAGCCCCAGCTACCCAGGCATTTACTGCTGGGAGCAGTGCCTGGGGCGCTGCAGTTATTACCTGCTGCAGGACGCCCGGACAGACGGACGCAGAGCCGTGGTCCCCCCGCTAACGCAGTGGTGGAGGTGGGCTCTGCGCCCCGTCTGGGTCCCGAATCCCCAACTCGGTCCCCTTCCCCAGAGCCCAACTGGGGGAGCCGGGCTGAGCCACGGGAAGAGTTTTGCTGCTCTCTGCTGGCAACAGGGGAGGAAAATAAAACCAGAGCAATATCCCAACCCTCGGCA